TACCTGCCGATTCAATGGCCTCTGCTTGACATACCAGGAAGAGCAGCTAACAGAGACTCTCCGCCTACACCCCTGGTAAAACACACACACACACGCATGCACACACTAGTTGAAAAGGTTTAAAACTATCAGCACACAGGCGTTGTGTAAATTAATAAAAATGTCACCGAAACTAGTTTGTCCTCTTCTCTGACAAAAGCGGTAGTCTTGACTCTGTCACCATGTGAAAGTGGATGAAAACCGTTTTAGAAAAAGAATAAAAACTCCTTTGTGGAGTTGTAAAGCAGATTTTAGTGCAGTTTCTTTCATTTTTAAATTGATGTAGCTTTAAAGAGACAATTATTCTTCTCAATTAAGTTTGAAATGTAAAAAAATGCAACCTGCTGGCAGCTGCATGTGACTGACTGAAAAACATGAAGTCTGAATTCAGAGCAGTAAGAAGGACCAGAACTTAGATGATCTAAGCCGGAAACATTCCGACCTTTTTCTTCCACATTACTAAAATAGCATGCATGTTGTGCACACATGGACTAACTTTATACACACTAGATTTACTCTACAGAAATCAGCTGTAGTAATGGAGACATGAATGTGAGACTCATGCTGCAGTTGCATCATTGAGAGGTCACTGTTGAACTCAGTGATGCTAAAAGGGCAGATCTAAGGTTAGAAGGAGAACAGAGCCACAGAACTGTCTATTTTCAGCTACAGTCAGGTCCATAAATATTGGGACATCAACACAATGCTAACATTTTTGGCTCTATACACCACCACAATGGATATCAAATGAAACAAATAAGATGTGCTTTAACTGCAGACTGTCAGCTTTTAGTTGAGGGTATTTTAATCCAAATCAGGTGAACGGTGTAGGAATTACAACAGTTTGCAAATGTGCCTCCCACTTGTTAAGGGACCAAAAGTAATGGGACAGAATAAGAACCATAAATCAAACTTATACATTTCAATACTTGGTTGCAAATCCTTTGGAGTCAATTACAGCCTGAAGTCTGGAACACATAGACATCACCAGATGTTGGGTTTCATCCCTGGTGATGCTCTGTCAGGCCTCTACTGCAACAGTCTTCAGTTCCTGCTTGTTCCTGGGGCATTTTCCCTTCATTTTTATCTTCAGCAAGTGAAATGCATGCTCAATCGGATTCAGTTCAGGTGATTGACTTGGTTATTGCAAAACAGTCCACTTCTTTCCCTTCAAAAACTCATTGGTTGCTTTTGCAGTATGCTTTGGGTCACTGTCCATCTGCACTGTGAAGCGCCGTCTAGTGAGTTCTGAGGCATTTGGCTGAATATGAGCAGATAATATTTCCCGAAACACTTCAGAATTCATCGTGCTGCTTTTGTCAGCAGTCACATCATCAATAAATACAAGAGAACCAGTTCCACTGGCAGCCATACATGCCCACGCCATGACACTTCCAGCACCATGCTTCACTGATGAGGTGGTCTGCTTAGGATCATGAGCAGTTCATTTCTGTCTCCATACTCATCAATCAATCAATCAATCAATCAATCAAAGCTTTATTTATAAAGTGCCTTCCACAACCCTATCAGGAAGCCCAAGGCGCTGAACATGGTACAGTAGAAGGTAAATATATTGAATAAATCAAAAATAAAAGCAATTCAAATTACAAAATACAAATTACAAAATAGGTGAAACATTCTAGTAGAAGAAAAATGTGTAAAACAAGGGATAGAGTGAACCAATGAAAACTGTGAAATAAATTCAACATAAAAGAGGACCGAATCAAATATGTTCAGGAAATGCCAAGCAGAGGAGGTGTGTTTTAAGGCGACTCTTAAAGACTGGCAGAGATGGGGACAGCCTAACTGAGGGTGGCAGCTCGTTCCAGAGTGACGGTGCTAGGACTGAGAAAGCCCGGTCCCCGCGAGTACGACACCTAGAACGAGGGACAGCGAGCAGGCCTTGGTCAGAGGAGCGCAGAGCGCGTGATGGGGAGTGTCTGTTCAGGAGTGTGGCTAGATAGGGGGGACCACCACCCTGGAAGAAATTATAAACAAAGACGAGGATTTTGAATTGTGAGCGATAGCAAACCGGAAGCCAGTGCAGGGAGGCCAGAACCGGACTGATGTGGTCCCGTTTCCTGGTCCCAGTCAGGAACCTGGCTGCGCTGTTCTGCACAACCTGTAGGCGATGCAGTGATGACTGACACAACCCTGCATAGAGAGAGTTGCAGTAATCAAGCCTAGAAATAACAAGGGCATGCAGTACCCGCTGCAGGTGGGCTCTCGACAACATATGCTTGATTTTTGCAAGGCGTCTCAGGTGAAAGAAACTGGACCGGATCACAGAATTGATGTGAGCATCAAATTTAAGTCCAGCATCAATTTTCACCCCCAGACTGGTGACAACTGGTTTTGAGTAGGGAGAAAGAGGGCCAAGATCAGCATAACGATCCACATTCCTGCTGTTGGGGTGAAAAACAATGAGCTCTGTCTTTCCCTCATTCAGATGTAGAACGTTGGCCATCAGAATCAGAAGTTTTTATTGCCATATGTGTGCCAAGTCACAACATTAGGAAATTGCTGCGGTATTTGTATGCCATTAGCCAAGACTTCACCTCGTTAAGACAGGACACAAAGGACTGGATAGAGTGACCTTTCTCCTGACACAATGGAGAGTAAATCTGGCAATCGTCAGCATAGAGATGGAATGATAGGTCGTGTTTACGAAAGATTGACCCCAGAGGTAGCAGATGAATGGCAAACAAAAGAGAACCAAGGATCGTTCCTTGCGGGACCCCCAGCGGAGCCCCTCCCAAGATGAAAAAACATCACCCAGTTTAACGCTGAATGTTCTGTTGTGGAGATACGATCTAAACCACTCCAGAGCAGACCCTTTGATCCCAACCCATCGTTCCAAGCGATCGAGTAGAATCGTGTGGTCGACTGTGTCAAAGGCTGCCGTCAGATCTAACAACAGAAGCACCACAGATGTACCCTGATCTAGTGATAGATTATCTTCCCATCACTCTAATACAAGTTGATCTTGGTCTCATCCGTCCATAAGATGTTGTTCCAAAACTGTGAAGGCTTTTTTAGATGTTTGGCAAACTCTAATCTGGCCTTCCTGTTTTTGGGGCTCACCAATGGTTTACATCTTGTGGTGAACCCTCTGTATTCACATTGGTGGAGTCTGCTCTTGATTGTTGACTTTGACACAGATACACCTACCTCCTGGAGAGTGTTCTTGATCTGGCCAACTGTTGTGAAAGGTGTTTTCTTCACCAGGGAAACGATTCTTCGGTCATCCACCACAGTTGTTTTCTGTGGTCTTCCGGGTCTTTTGGTGTTGCTGAGCTCACCGGTGCGTTCCTTCTTTTTGAGAATGTTCCAAACTGTTGTTTTGGCCACGCCTAATGTTTTTTTCTATCTCTCTGATAGGTTTCTTTTGTTTTTTCCACCTAATGATGGCTTGCTTCACTGATAGTGACAGCTCTTTGGATCTCATCTTGACAGTTGACAGAAACAGATTCCAAATGCAAATGGCACATTTGAAATGAACTCTGGACCTTTTATCTGCTCATTGTAATTGGGATAATGAGGGAATAACACACACCTGGCCATGGAACAGATGAGAAGCCAATTGTCCCATTACTTTTGGTCCCTTAACAAGTAGGAGGCACATATGCAAACTGTTGTAATTCCTACACTGTTCAGCTGATTTGGATGTAAATGCCCTCAAATACAAGCTGACAGTCTGCAGTTAAAGCACATCTTGTTCATTTCGTTTGATATCCATTGTGGTGGTGTATAGAGCCAAAAATATTATCATTGTGTCAATGTCCCAATATTTATGGACCTGACTGTACATAAAAACACTTGCTGTTCACACTGGTCAGACCCAGACAGCTGCATGCTGTTGGTGATTTTCTCCTTGACCATGAACTTTGTACTCATCAGCGTGAGTTCAGCTTCTGCACCGCAGGTCCCTCCCATCTGAGGTGTTTAATGGAGATAAGTGTCAGACGTGTTTGATGTTGTGTAACAGATGAAAAATACCACATTTCTGTGAGAAAAAGCTATCCTGGTTCTTCACAGCAACAAAACTAAACTGTTTCAGATGATGTTGTGAAAAGTGTTTTCATTTATTTGCTTTTTGAATATTTTCTTTATTAGAAAGATGTCTAAAGGTTTAACCAAAGCTTTCACAAACGAGTACATCCACTTAATGTTCACACGGGTGTTTCTCAATGTCAAGGCGCCTTGCCTTGCGAGGCGATGTCTTGCAAGGCAAGGCGCCTTGCTTACAAGGACACTGTCCTTCCTTGGTCAAAGAAAACGGTTAAATGGAACAGTCTTGCATCATGTGACCGCGGCTTCCACGGCGGTCACGTAATGTCACATGACATGGGAGATAACGTTATATTTTATATGTATTAGTTTCAAATTGAAACTCGTTATATATTTATATTGAAACTTTCAATATAATTATATAACGAGCATTTTACTTTTTAAATTGTGTATATGTTTATTAAATTCTAAATATAAGCGAGTTACTACCCGCTAGCCACCGAAGCTGCAACTACTAAGCAACTAACAACAATGGATAACTTCTTTGGAAACTAAAAAAAAAAAAACATTTTAAATTAGTTGACTTACTTTTAAACTTGAAAATTGTCACAGAAGTAGCCGCCAGCTTCTGATCCGCCGTCCTTTTGAAAATATTGCGGTGTATTGTGGGTAATTTTTGGCCAAGTCTAGGCTACAAGACACCTCCCGTGTGTCCTTGCTCAGCTAGCTAAACGGCTAACAAACGGAGAACACACGCCTCAGTAGAACTTGAACATTGGAACCGAACACGTCTTGGCGGCTCCTGATGACGTATCTCCTAGGCAACCGGGGCGGGGCCAAGACATCAAGGCAAGGTTCCTTGACACTGACCCACTATTTATCTAAAAAACTAAAAGCATAAAGACAAAAAGCTTTTTATCACAACTGACCTCATAAGTGTGTGTGTAAACTGAAGTAGAATCCTAAGCATTTCAGAGGTTTTATAGAGCTGTAATTGGCAGTTACATTAGATCTACTTAAGACTTTTGCAAAGAACTAAAAATGGTAAATCTGACTGTTCAGGAAGACTAAAAGCTCCAGTTAGCTTTCTGTTTTTCTAAACATCCAACAGCTGCTGTACTTGCAGCTGTCTGCCAGCAGAGGGCAGCAGGTCTCTACACACGTTTAAACGTTCAGCACATTTAACAGTATCGGCATCACAGAGTTCTAAGCAATGGATAAGAATGAACTTTTCATGCCCTTTTCTTTTGTGTGCTTGTTAGTCCAACAGCGTCCCTGTGGTGCAGCGCCCCCACATGACCCACCTTCACCCACTGCTATCCTACAGCCCTGAGGCCTTCTCCCCTCAAAGGGCCTCACCTAGCTTCTCTTCTGACCCAGGTAAGCAGCCTGCTTTCACCTGTCAAATTCCAAAATTAGTTTTCCTTCTGCTCTGACCTTTACCCTGTGCTGCAGTTCCTGTACCAGGTACGTCGAGGAGCCCCCACACCTCCTGCTACCCAGTCTCTCCTGGCGGCATGGCTCAGATCCCCCGATCTCTTGGCTGGCTGTAAGTACGGCTCTTTTGGGCAGACTTTGTTAGTTAGTTAATCAGTTTCCCTCTGGGATTAATAAAGTATTTTTGAATTTGAATTTGAATTATGATAAGACTGTTGGGTTAACATCTTTACTTAGTCCTCGCCTACATCTCAGTCTATCAGATGTAGAGCTGAGGAAAATAATCAAATAATCGTTGCATCGGGATGCGGACATAAACGATCCTGCATCGTAGAAGAGTTCGCCATAATCGATTATCGTGGAATGTAGTTTTGTTTTTTTAACGGCAGCATCAGTGCAGCATCCAAATCTGTCTTAATGTGGTACTGCAGGGCTGAGTGCTGGAGTAGTAACCTGAGACTGAACTGGAACCGAATCAGCCCAACTGGTTCTGTTGGATTTGGGCCGTGAATTCTGTTAATTGAGCAGGTTGTCATGCGGCCCGCTCCGCTCGCTTGATCAGCGACCAAAAGAGAGCGAGAGAGACATGCTCACACACGAGAGAGGATCGGAGGACGCGCCGCCAAACACGCATTATTATTTTCATAATTTCATTATTATTTCTCCTCGAAGCGCTCAGTCAGACTGCTTGTTGTGATGTTGGGAGATCCGGTCTTGGGGATGGGGCAGGGCCAGTGATGGCGGCTGCAGCGTGATCATCTGTCTCTTTTATTTAGGGACACGGAGAAGTTAAAAGGAAAGGGAATTAGAAGATAGAGGTTTTTGTTCCACTTTATTCTTTTGTTTCATGATGATAAACTGATGTTAAATTCAATTTAAAAAACTGGGAAGAAGCTTTGGTTCATTCTAGGTTACAGGAGATCTTGTTTCCTATCCGCTCCTCCAGAGACAGCATGGACATGAGGGTTACATGGTGAGGGTCCCACAGGACAGGTTAGTGGAAAGGTTTGTAGTTAGCTGGTTAGTGAAGGAGATCCATCAGATAGGTAATTTAATCCTATGACACGTCTCACCTTTATGTTAATATTGTTTTATTTGCTGCACTCCACTTTGAACTGCACCAGTCCAGCAACTGCTGCATTTTAATAACTAGTATTAAAGGTGAATACACCAATATTTGCACAAAAATAATTTTTGTTTTAAACTCTCAGTGACACACTTTGCAGGGGGGATTTGGCATTCAATTTTTCTTGGCGTTTGGAAAAACATCTCCTTCTGCCCCCATGTATTTGACATTCTGCCCCCTTTATTTTGGTCCAAGATCATTACTGGGCTGACTCTATTAAAAACGTTCTACACCCCTGCTTAGTAGACTTAATGAAGTATTTTTTAGCCAGTATAAAAATGACTGAAACACAAATTTACATATTTGGCATTATTGACCAATAACTTTGATTTAATTTATTTGTTAAGAACATCGAGATGCATTACAGTGAACGGTATAGTAAAGTAAATGTTTCTAGTGCAGAGAGGAGACAACCCATAGAAGCACTGATTTGATCTCATTTCAAAGAAAAATAGAACAGGTCAGATGCACCTAATAAATAAAATTACTAACATAAACTCAGGAATCTGTTTCTTTGCTTCATTGTTCTGGTGCTGAAAATATCACTAATGCGGATCAAAGGAGATACACAGATGAATGTACCTTGTTATTTGGAAATTAGTGGGCGTGGTCTGAAATTGATAAAAAGTTGCTATGTGTATTGTTTATTTGAAAACTGTTTACAGAGCAGCCTCAGAATTGAGATTAAATATTTTTGACCACAGTAGTAAAGGAACTATTACAGAACAAGTTTTTCAGTAAAATCAGAACATTATTATTTAAGTGTATGAATTAATGCATCTGAACTCATGCAGTAGGAACTAGGAAATATGAAATACTAGAACCATTTCATTTTAATTTGATTAAACTGATTTTTTCCTAACGTTGTTGGCATTTTTCCCACACACAGTTAAACAAAACAATGTTGATTGAGGTGTGTGTGAGAGAGAGAGGGAGAGAGAGAGAGTTAAAATAATAATTAAAAAAAAAAACGACCGGAGTGGAGGCAGTGACTGACGCATGCATGAACCGTGTTCAGCTCTGTCTTGTCAAACGCACCACGTACGTTATGAAAAAAGTCACTTTTAAATATTCAACCGAAAAAGAGGCGAGCTGAAGAAACGTGAGCAACAGTGAAGCAAGCACAGAGATTCTACTGTGTGTGTGTGTGTGTGTGTGTGTGTGTGTGTGTGTGTGTGTGTGTGTGTGTGTGTGTGTGTGTGGGTGGGGGTGTGGGTGGGGGTGGGTTGGTGGGTGGGTGGGTGTTTGCGCACGCGCGCGTGTGTGGATGGGCCAGACGGACTGAGCAGAGTTTTGTGTGTAGGGAGGGGCGGGCGCTCTATGTGATTGGCCAATCACAGAGCGTGAAGACAGTCAGTTACCCAATGAGGATTTTCCTTCAGCACGATTACAGATATTTACGAGCTTTACTCGTTTCATGCTCGTATTCCTCAAAAATGCTTTATCCGTACCGGATACTCGTCTGAAATGAGTATCCGGCTCATCCCTAGCTGTAACCACCCTGCCCTGCTTCCTCCTCCTTGCTGCCTGCTGGCTGTAATCACAAGCAACAACAGAGTAGTTCCCACTGCTTCTTCGGGAAACGGCACAAAAAAAAAATCAATAAAACTTGGGATCTTGTAGGCGTGGCACTGGGATTTCAGCTACGCCTATGTAAGGGAAACACTGCATCTTCTATTTATCGATGAAAACAAATCAATATGAAATAATCGTGATGCATCGGGATATCGAATCAAATTGAATCTTTGACCCAATAATCGTAATCGAATCAGGAGACAAGTGAAGACCTCTAATCAGATGTTTCAATCACTGCTGGTTGGTGAATTTTTGTGTAAGAAAGAGATTTTGCGTCTTGAAGACTGAAAGAGAGCATATAACTTATTTTTTTTTTCCTTTAAAGGAGTGGTTGATTTGTTTAAGCTATACATTTGCAGTGGTCTCTAGTAGGAATAAATACCTTTTAATTTAGTCTTGTGAGAAAAACATACCAGTGCCCCGTCTCTCGGACCTAAAAATTGCCCACATCACAGCTTCAGACAGCAGGTTTAGGAGTCTTATTTTCTGACATCTGGACATCTCGCCCCAGATTGGATAACAGCAACATGACTCTACCATTGACTTACAACATGGATATTTTATCTCCACAAATAACAAAACAGGGTATCCGCGGGTCCTTAAAAAGTCTTAAATTTGCTTTTCCAAATTTAAGGCCTTAAAAATCCTTAAAAATGACAAATAATCCTTAAATACAGTTTCCAAAGGTCTTAAATTACCAAAGACCCAATTAATAAGACTCTTTTATTTCTAATTTTTTGTGAATTTCTAGTTTGTGTTCAGCATTTTTTGTGTATGGCATTTGCATAAGTGGAACTGTACACATTCAGTTGGTTGTGAAAAGGGGCTGTTTTTAGATGAGCACATTAGCTAGTTAAGCTAGTGGGAGCTTGTGCCATGGGGAAATGCAAGTTTAATGGTATTTAGATGGCTAATCCCACGTTCGTAACGTGGTTAGCACCGGTTCCAGGCAATAGCTGGAAATTATAGCTTAAATTTAATTGAAAAAAAAAAAGCTTAAATTTGGTCAAAGTGGCCTTATAAAAGGTCTTAAAAAGTCTTAAATTTGGCTCCCTTAAACCTGCAGATACCCTGCAAAAGCAGGAGGAGCTTCTGCTGTGTGGTCATTTTGCTAATGCTAACAGTTAGCTTAAAGTAGCCGAAATGTTCTCTGCTGATAACTGGATCAACAACAACCAACAACAGCCTTCCCCTTTGTGAGTCCATGGGTGACAGAATTTCTGTCAGGATTTTCAAATTCTAGAGTTTCACAGTCTATGTTCTATCAGAAGCTACTGCAGGAGATAAGAGAAAGGTTTTTTCAGTCAACCACACCTTGTCAGCCATCCCAGTTAGACCTGACGGTGTTCCAGTGGAGATGGTATTGAATCAGACATGTTGACCTAATATCACGTTAACAAAAGGAACCACACAGGAACTGTGTGACATCATTCTGGTCTTCCAGCCTGATGCAGTTTGTTGTTGTCTGCAGGCCGAGACAACCCGTGTATCCCATCACAGGAGGATTCTCTCCTGCAGCTTTAGCCATGAATGCCTCCATGCCCAGGTACATCTACACTTTACTTTTCTGCTGATAAAACCATCAACTCGGTGTGTTTCACAAGTCAGATCTCCTTCTCAAGCTACAACTGCTAGATAAATTTGTGGTCCAAAAATATAATGCCGTTTTTCTAGGGATGTCCGGTGTTATCGGCCGATATTGACCTAATAATGCAATAATGGAAAATATCTATCAATTTTCACTCGTTTAGTGACCCAACTTTTACATACCTGGCACATGTTATACATCAAACTCTTCAGCTTCATTTCCTCTCATATAACAGATCTGAGGTTTAGTTTTTGAGATATTTAAGTGTTATTTGGCACAACTTGTGAATAATTTGGAATTTGCCCTGTATAGTAGATGGGGGTTGGGCATTGTTTGAATTTGAACAATTCCAATTCCTTGTTTCGATTCCAGTTCCTAAATATTCCGATTTTTTTCAAGAGGCAGGATCCTTAAAAAATCATGTGTTTTAAATGAGCCAGCTAACCACATTTTATGAGGAATAATCCTAACTTCAACATGAATTTCTATTCTATGAACAGTAACATCACCTTCATTTAGACACAAACAGGTTTTAATTGAAGTGATGGAATGGAAGCTAGATGTTTTAGCAAAACCTTGAGAGTATCAGAGAGATTGTGGAGTCTGGGTTGTAAAAGTCATTCTGGCTGTATGGTTTGATAAGCTAAACTTTATTTATTAAACCATCCGGTGCCAGTGTGCAGCGTCTACGATACCCTTGTGTGACTGTTGCTCTCGGGGGTCCGAAGGAAGGGCCACCCGAGTGGTGAGGTCACTGGACATCGAGACCAAAGAGTCGTAGCTCCCTTTGTATTCTGCTTTCACCGGCCATGAGATGCAACCAGGGTCTGCAGATTAGATGTCTGTCTGAGGTGTTGGGTGAGCCTTAAAAGAGCCATTGTGTCTGAAACCACTAACAAGTGTTGCAAAGACGCTTTGACCTTGGAGTCAAAAGAAAGGATGGTTCCAAATGCATGCTCACTGGTCGGCCGAACCAGGAGGCAGCTGAAGAACTATATTAATTTCTTGTGTTCAAATGTAGACAAATCAGAATTTGACACATTTAAGAGGCGTTGACAAAGACCTCAGAAAGTCACTCCTTCTCTCAGATACTCGGAGGTTAATTCTCCGTGTGAAGTGTAAATGTTTTTTACACACTTATGTGAAGTGAATGTTAAAACCTTAATATTAATCTTATGATGTATGAGTATACTGACAGATGAACTTGTTAAATCAACAAACACAAGCCGTTTGAACATTTAATAGTAAATAAATTTAATTTGTGTAGCACTTATCACAGACAGAATCACAAAGTGCTTCACATAGATCAAAACAAAACAAAACAAAGTCATAAAATCATAATGATCTCAAAACAGAAATGGATTAACATCGGGAAAAAAATCATGAAATCATATTGATCAATCAACACCTCTTTGTATTTCCTATTCTACATAGCAACAGCAATATATCCATGATATTCTTACTAGTCAATATTGAAAATAAGCATATGAACATATTATATTTAAGGATATTCATAATAACAGCTGCTCTATTAGGAATTTGGCATTTTGCTTCACGAAGGTGTTTCCATCCATCAGTATTGAATTGAATAAACACCATCTGTTAACCCTGACTGACTGTCGGTAGTTAAACTTTTTAGTCTTTTACAGAAACTCAGAACAAGCATCAGGCTAATAGAATTAAAGGCATTTTAAAAGTTTTAAACTGTCATTTAAACATTACAGAGAATACTTGAATTTTACAAATGATTTTTCTAAACAGAATCTCTGAAAAGGGGAAATAAATATCTTCTGGAATACAAAATGTGTGTGTGTGAGAGTGTGTGAGAGAGTTTTGTATATGTTAATACAAATGTGAAATTAATTCATGTGAAATATTGCGGTGGGAAGGGTCATTAACTCTTTTCTGATGTTTGCATTTCAGTGAGAGAAGAAACCTCCCTTAGATGGGACTTACTGTTTAGATCTAGTTTGGACCGATTCTTCTGTCTCGTGTAGTACCACAGTAAAACATTTAGCTACAGGCCTCGTCTGAGGCCCGACTGTTGCTGCTGGAAAGTTCTCTGTAGCTTTTATTATTTTTTATGTTCTGTTGAATTAGGTATTAATGGCACATGTGTATTTTTCTTCTCTAGTCTGGTACCCAGCAGTTTCTCTCCCAGCTTGGTGCTAAATCCCCAGTCATCGATTCCCCACCCTGCCATCGTTCCCGCCGTGAAGCAGGAGCCTGCAGGCAGCAGCGGCTACCAGCCTGGGTAAAATAAATGACTTGCCTCATGTTTCATTCTCAGAGGCTCAAAATGACAACGTGTCTGTTTAGGAAGCGAGACTGAATTACAGCGTGATTAGATTTACTCTGGGACAGCAGTAGCTCAACAGGTTGAGCGGGTTGTCCAGTAATCGGAAGGTTGCAGGTTCGATCCCTCGAACCAGCCTCGCCTCTGTCAGTGCGCCCCAGGGCAGCTGTGGCTACATCGTAGCTCATGTGAATGAGTGTGTGTGTGAATGGATGAATGATACACTGTAGTGTAAAGCGCTTTGGAGTCCTTACTCTGAGAGGCGCTGTACAAGTGCGGGTCATGTACTCTGTAGTTGTGAACTATGCTTGTGTGACACGTGTGTCCTGCAGGAAGATGACATCTGTTGCTGAACACGAGAAAGAGGAGGAAAAGAAGCCTCACATCAAGAAGCCACTCAACGCTTTCATGTTGTACATGAGGGAGGAGAGGCCCAAAGTGGTGGCCCTGTGTAAAGTAAAGGAGAGTGCCACCATCAACCAGATCCTGGGACAGAGGGTCAGTTCATTTCTCTATTCAGTCTAACATTTATTACTAAATCATTTTAGCTGAGAACGTCAGAATCTTATGGGGGGGAAAATTATTTTAAAAATATGTTGAGCAGTCGTTTCCAAACTGTGGTATATGAGCTGCTACTAGTGATAACAGGACGCTCTTTTGGTAGCGGTCGCTAAAAGTTAAGCATGATAAGGGTCAATTATTGTTTCTGTTGTTTTGTGTTCACAGTGGCATTCTCTGTCCAAAGAAGAGCAAGCCAAATATTATGAGATGGCTCGTAAAGAGAGACTCCTCCACTCTAAGCTCTATCCCAACTGGTCAGCCAGAGACAACTATGTGAGTCCACTCCTAATGAAGCACAGGCTCGTCCTTAGCCGACATCATTTAACACTCGTCTGATTCTGTTTGGCAGGGTAAAAAGAAGAAGAGGAAGAGAGTCAAGAACGACACTCAGCTTGATGGTCAGGTTATGTTTATCTGATTATGTTTATCTGATGTTGAGATTTGTTAGATGATCCTAAACATTTAGATGTGTCAAAAGAGCAGAAAGACTTGTCAGCTTGCTGTTCTGTTAAAACTTTGGATTATTTAATGTGCTTAAAATAAATTGACAAGTTAAAATCCACCCAAACACATCTTGTAAGATCCCCTGAAGACACGAACATTCACACAACGTGATGCTGTAAAATTAAAGGTGCCATATTTGTTCTTGGAAAAAAATCATTCAAGCAATCTACATTTTGGGAGATAAAAAAAAACTCAAAGATCCCACCCTTTTTGCACCCTGGTCACAGAATCTGATGGTTGCAGAAAATGGTACTACATCTGCTTGGGACACAGACACACAGCTCTGCTGAGCTGCTATGGTTTGAATTTCCAGAACCGACTCCAAACCGAGCTTCCCCCCTCTCATTTCAATTCTTCCCTCTCTAATTAAGTATCCTAGCATATTTAGCGTGTGGCTTTTTAAAAATGAAGTTTAAGGAAGTTTGTAGCTTTCTTGGCTTATTTTTAAGTTAACCAGCAAAACTTTCAGAACACGAACCGAACTCCATAATTTCTGTCTGACACACACACACACACACGCGCACACACACACACACACACACACACACACACACACACACACACACATATTTTTGAAACTGGGCTGCATTTCCTGACTCTTTCACCTAAGCGTTTCCCAACAAGAACAGAATTGGGCTTTAAACATGTGAAACAACTCAAACAACATTTTCTAACAGAACAGGACTCTAGGCAGCTCGGCTAGCTCCCTGCTCACCTGCTCTGCAGAAAACGAGAGTGTTATGAGCAGCAGTGTGAGAGACGTTCGGAGGAGCCGTTTGATGGGTGGATTATGATCCAGTCATTGAGAAGGAAGACCAGCACATGATTGGATGAGGTTTTTCTAGGATCATATGTTTCAGAAGTGATTAAATGTTTTCTTTTGTTTTACAAACATTTAATTTACTGGTTGCCTTCAGTATGTGAAGAGCATTTCAAGCAATATGGCAAAAAATGTTCTAGGAAAAACCAGGGCCCTCATTCATCAGACTGTCCTTTTATTCCTTCTTACAAATGAAATGACCAGTGTTTGTAAAAATGGCAAAAATCCTGATTTATTCAACGTCAGTAGCCTCTCGTATTCATGTTCCTCCACAACTGAGTGATGATAAATCCGTCCTGCACGTACCCAGGTGCTCGTGTCATTTACATACAGAAACACCCTCAATTATTTGGTCACAACATGTCCTCAGCTCATGAGGGGATTCCCTGCGTTCCTCCCGGGGAAAACAAAACTTTGACAGCGAGATCGAGGTACTGGCTGCAGAGGTTGTAAACGCAGCCGGGACAGAGCAGTGGTTCCTGTGAGAAACTAAGAAAAATTGAATATGATAAATCTTAGAGAAATGGGTTGTCATTAACTGTTTATATTGTATTGTAAACTACTGTATGGATGTTCTGTTGGGAGTTAGTTTGTTGTTTGGAAAAGTTGTCTGAGTGCAGCCTTGGAGTCAGCCAATTAGGCTACCTTGACAACACGTGTTTTTTTTTTTTTTTTTTTTTTTTTTGAGGTGGGGGGGTGGAGGAGGTTCTGGTGGCTCTTGTTGTTGTCAATAATTGAGTATGGACTGGAATCAGACTTGTGTGGTTTGTCTGTCGCCCCACAAAGGGTCCCAAGTCACGACACACGTCCAGACTGTCTTTCGAGGAGATCAGTGTGCTCACGGAAGATGCGTTCCCCCCGGAGTGCACGTTCTGCCAAAAACTCAATAACACAAAATCAGCCATGAAGCTGATTTTCCACAAACAAAATTACTTATTGGAGAAAGTGTTATCTGGATGAAGAATATGCTTGGAAGGATGAGACATGTTGCAGTGTGGCATGTGAAATACATACGTGACTAGTAACCTAGCCTACCAGACTCTTCCTCTGTTTTATTCTGCATAGAGAAAGGGTCTGGGAACTCTCCTATTCAAATAACCCAACCCCTGAGAATTCTAACCGAGCCAATCAGCTCTGAGTAGCATACGTCACACACCACAATGCCGAGTTTGTCATAAACATGGCGACTGAAGCGGAGTTCGCAGCGGCTCTTTCCTCTGTTCTAAATTACTTGAACACGTCTTTAAAACAACAAGTAGAAGCGAGGACGAGTCTGGCAGGCCAGGCTGCGTGACTAGAACTGCAACAAATGATAATTTGGATCATTGATTAATCAGATGGGCTCTCGACCCGATTAATCAGATTAAACGGAAACATTTAAAAACTGCTAGGGAAACATTTTTTCTCTCCTTCCTTTACTTTAACATCAAAACACGATTAGAAAACAGTTCAACAGCATGCAAAACAACATGCTATCCCCTAAATATATCCATAATTAAACTGCGATCAGTAAAATGTAATGTATTTCATTAACCTGGTCAGTAGTAAGCTGCTGGAAGCGCTAACATTTCATTTCTCCTGCAAAAATGCAACGGTGACATATTTTAGGTTCAAGGTTCAAGGTTGTCTTTATTATGTACAGGTTAGCAAAAATCCAGTTTAAATCATATACACAGATAAACACGTTTGTGAATTGCATGCAACAATGGCTTGCCATACTCCTGCAGGTGTTGAGCAGAGGAGACTCAAACCAGACTCCAGCGGTTCTGCTCCATAGTGCTGCAGTTAGCTAAGAATAAACAGGATGAGGAGGACTTTTCTTCCACTTGTAGAGTTTAGATGTTCTTAGTTTCACAACCATCATGTTTTTTGGAACCCCACTTGATCGTGAGCCTGCTACCTGCTAGCATTAGATAATCTGCCCGTAGTTGCACTTTTGATCCCAAACCATTTCTGCCAATGTGTCTTTGCTGGTTTCTGTTTTCCTCCACACCAGTGACAGCACCTACATTAGCACATGGTGTGTCAGTAAGCAACAGTTCTAAGTGTGTCGTTCCTCATCAAAACACCGTCTCTCTCGTTCTGATCTGCCTCAGTCTGCTCTGTTACCAACTAAACATGAGCTGTGTGCATTGACTGTTAAATGAAGGTTGTGCAACACAACGAATCAATCGATTTTTATCGATTCGTTGTTGCAGCCCTACAGGTGCTGGCCAGTAAATTAGAATATCATCAAAAGGTTGAAAATATTTCAGTAATTCCATTCAAAACGTGAAACTTGTACATTATATTCATGCAATGCACACAGACCAATGTATTTCCAATGTTCATTACATTTAAATTTGATATTCATAAGTGACAACTAATGAAAACTCCAAATTTGGTATCTCAAAAAATTAGAATATTCTGAAAAGGCTGAATATAGAAGACACCTGCTGCCACTCTAATCAGCTGATTTACTCAAAACACCTGCAAAGGCCTTTAAAAGGTCCCTCAGTCTTGTTTTGAAGGCACCACAATCATGGGGAAGACTTCTGACTTAACAGCTGTCCAAAAGACAATCATTGACACCTTGCACAAGGAGGGCAAGACACAAAAGGTGATTGCTAAAGAAGCTGGCTGTTCGCAGAGCTCTGTGTCCAAGCACATTAACAGACAGGCGAAGGGACGGAAAAAATGTGGTAGAAAAAAGTGTACAAGCTCTAGGGATAACCGCACCCTGCAGAGAATTGTGACGACAAACCCATTCAAAAATGTGGGGGAGATCCACAAAGAGTGGACTGCAGCTGGAGTCAGCGCTTCAAGAACCACCACGAGGAGACTCATGAAAGACATGGGATTCAGGTGTCGCATTCCGTGTGTCAAGCCACTCTTGAACAAGAAACAGCGCAAGAAGCGTCTCGCCTGGGCCAAGGACAAAAAGGACTGGACTGATGCTGAGTGGTCCAAAGTTATGTTTTCTGATGAAAGCAAGTTCTGCATTTCCTTTGGAAATCAAGGACCCAGAGTCTGGAGGAAGAGCGGAGAAGCACAGAATCCACGTTGCATGAGGTCCAGTGTAAAGTTTCCACCGTCAGTGATGGTGTGGGGTGCCATGTCATCTGCCGGTGTTGGCCCACTCTGTTTCCTGAGGTCCAGGGTCAATGCAGCCGTCTACCAGGAAGTTTTAGAGCACTTCATGCTTCCTGCTGCTGACCAACTTTATGGGGATGCAGACTTCACCTTTCAACAGGACTTGGCACCTGCACACAGTGCCAAAACCACCAGCACCTGGTTCAAGGACCATGGTATCCCTGTCCTTGATTGGCCAGCAAACTCGCCTGACCTTAACCCCATAGAAAATCTATGGGGTATTGTGAAGCGGAGGATGCAATACGCTAGACCCAACAATGCAGAGGAGCTGAAGACGACTATCAGAGCAACCTGGGCTCTCATAACACCTGAGCAGTGCCACAGACTGATCGAGTCCATGCCACGCCGCATTACTGCAGTTATTGAGGCAAAAGGAGCCCCGACTAAGTATTGAGTGCTATACATGCACATTCTTTTCATGTTCATTCTTTTCAGTTGGCCAACATTAGAGAAACAAACATTTTTTCATTGGCCTTTAGAATATTCTAATTTTCTGAGATACCAGATTTGATGTTTTCATTGGTTGTCACCTATAAATATCAAAATTAAACGTATTAAACATCGGAAATACATTGGTCTGTGTGCATTGCATGAATATAATGTACAAGTTTCACGTTTTGAATGGAATTACTGAAATATTTTCAACCTTTTGATGATATTCTAATTTACTGGCCAGCACCTGTATATGTGACATAGCCGACATGTGACACATGCGTGACATATGTGACGTGTGACACACATACGTGACATACGACACACATACGTGACATATCTGACGTGTCTTCCTCTAATGAGCTTTGTGTTTTTGTTCCACAGCTGCTGAAGAAGACTTCCCTCCACAGCTGAAGAAACCTTGTGAGGGGACGCCACACACACATGCCCCCCTTACACATGTGCCACACACAAACACTCCTCTCACACTTGCTCCGCACACACACACCTCACACACACGGCCTCAACTGACACAGCCACACACAGTGTCTCACCTGACACACACCCACCTCTCTCAGGCCAGCCCCGCCTCCTCACTCGACTCCCCAGCGACCCCCACCACAACGCTGGCCTCACCTGCTGCCCCGGCTGCCACACACACCGAGCACACACACTCGTCCCACAGTGGACACACCTCGCCTTACACCGAGCAGCTGCAGCCACTTTCCCTCACCACCAAACCCCATCGAAGCCCCCACCACCTGAACCGGAATACCAGAGCCTCCACGCCCTCCTCCTCCGCAGACACTCCCACCCCCTCACCATCCGAAGCCTCCTTCAGGAAATCCCCCCACCATCAGTTCCTAGCCCCACCCCCTTCCTCCTTAGACCAGTCAGCTGCGAGGTGTCACAGTGCCTTAACTCTTCCTCAGCAGCTCTCACACTAATCAGTGGATCAGCTGTCAGGAGTAAATTACCCATGATTCATGTGTTTTATACCTCTTAGCTGTAAATAAACCTCTTTTTTTTAAAGCTTTTAATAGACCCGTCATGTTTTATACTAGTCTGGAAAGGACATAATTGGTCAATATTTGACTATATCCTAAACATCAACTGTATTTTTAAAAAAATTTTTTGCTAAATTTGTTTTTTGTACTTTTGGAGAGGAGTTGTTACTAAAGCAGGGTGTGGTACAGGGCCTTGTTTGTTTAGAAATGTATTTGAGTTAAAACCCATGTTCTGGTTTGGTTTGTTAATAAACATTCACTGAGTTCTGATGGTCTGCCTGCTGGGTGTCGAGTCACATCCCTTCTAACATCGGACACCTACTACTGGAGGTAGAAGATGAAGACCTTAACGAAAGAACAGTGGAAAAGCTGAATTCAGATGAGAAGTGTGAGAGTCTTGAACTAAAGATTAGGATCTCAGATTTTTTTTTACATAATCCAAGCCAACAGATGAGTAAATGTAATCTGGTCCAGTTGACAGCTGGAGATGCTTCACTTCTGCCTCTGGCAGTTTAACAGATTAATGATTTTACCAACATCGATCAGATGTTCATGTCATTCTGTCATATTCGAGATCCTCACTGACTCAGCGTGATGGAGTACCTGGATGCAGGGGATGTGGTCATACATGAAAACCACAGCCTTTGAGACTTCCGGTATGGCGGAGAGTAGAGCTGAAACAACTAATCGATTTAATCGATTATAATCGATTATTAAAATAGTTAACAACTTTTTTAGTCATCGATTAGTTGTTTAATAATCATATTTTACCGCATAAAGTATTTTTTACCACAATCTGACATCGGTTACAAGCTGTTAAATTTGCCGCCAGTGTGTGGCAGTAATGAGCCACTGATCTACCAGTGGAGCCGTAGAAGAAGAAATGAGCCAATGGGTGCCCTCGGTTTCCATGACGTATCACGTTACTGACGCTCATCTTGCTGTGAGAAAATGGCGGAACAAGAGGAAATACGGAAGAAAAATAGAAGCGACAAAATTGAAGAGAAACCCCGGACAAAAACCTCACGAGTATGGGAGCACATTTGAGACGAAAGCATGTGGGGGCTGATGCAGCAGAGGAAGAGCACCGCGGTCAAGTGAGCCGTCATTTGGAAGAGCCAGCCCGGTAAGTAACAGAAAATAAACAAGCTGGACTTAGTGTTTTAGCTGAGTTCGTTATACTGGATGTTAAACATGTTTTTTTGCCGCGTCAGTCTGCGGTGTTCTACTTCTGATTGACTAGATGCAATCGTGAATCTCCGTGTTGTGTATCATGCGCTTGCCAAATTCAGCACGTCTGTTTATAAGAATGTTCTCGTTAAGAGAAAAACGGCACAAACCCATAACCATGTTCCTCATTCAAAAAAGGACAACTCCGCGGTGAAAAATATACAGACAAGCTGTGTCCAGGTGAATATAACGCGGCATAGTTGTACACTTTCAATTTTTAAATACAGGAGAAATTCAGAAAAAGTCATTTTTTTACTATTAAAAGGCTGTTTTACTATCTAACGCTGTAAAACGCCTCACAACACATTTTTATCATGTTTCTTAAACAGTATTACACAAAATAAACATTTTTCACATTTCTCTGGCTAATTTAAACACTCCCGACTCAAAGTAAAAACCTCATGAGCTTCTTACTTAGAGCTTTTTAATAGTAAAAATGTTTTACTTTTTTTCTGAATATCTCCTGTTGCGGGCTATTTTGTAGAACGTAACCCTCAAAATAAATGATCACTGTATATTGTTAATTAATTCAAATAATATAATATTGATTTAGTGTTGTAGTGTGTGTGCTGCTTTATTTTATATGTGTACTTATTTCAGTCTATTTGTGTTTCTTATGCAGAAAAAAACAAGCAACGATGGACAACTACATGGGGAACAAGACACTCACCCCCCAGCAATTCATACCACTTACAAACTCTATTCTAAACATGCTGGTAAAAGACATGAGGCCACTATCCATGGTGGAAGGAGCAGGCTTCCAGCTAATGCTAAAAATTATTCTGGACTGATATTTTGCACTGTTTAGCTCATTTTATACTGCTGACTGTGTTCATGTGCAATAAAATAGATTGCAGTCAACTGCACAATTCTCTTATGTTTTTTTGTTCTTAACTGAAATGCATCCATCACTTGTATAGGTTAAATAGCTAAACAATAACAAACCGATTAATCGATTAATCGAAAAAATAATCGACAGATTAATCGATTATGAAAATAATCGTTAGTTGCAGCCCTAGCGGAGAGACGAGCGACATGGTAATTCACCAGCTCCAAGCAGCCCCCCCCCCCCCCCCCAATTCAGGATTTAACTACTGCAAGGTTGTCAAAATAGCATGAAAGGGGGAGATAAAAGAAAAGAGGAAACGTGCAAGTTAATGCTCAAGGGGATGTTTCGTGTCTGAGGGAAAGCGAAGAATGCAACGCAGATGTTGGCGAGCTAGCCGCAGTATTGCCAACTCAGCGACTTTGTCGCTGTTCCTAACGACTTATTTCCCCAAAAATGCCTAGCGACATTTCTCAGGACCTGTTGCTACTTTCTGTAGAAATTTCTTGTAGATATTCCCTACAGATTAGCAACAAAGAAACCATTTGCACTCGGAACCGTTCTTCTGGGAGTAAGGAAAGAGAACGATCATCTGCACATGTGCACGAGGACTGACCAATCATAAACCGTTTTCGGCAGGGCCGATTCGCTGAAGACAAAGGTACAGTTCCAGAGCTGGAGACCGCTGACGTCTGCTGCTGCTGCAGGCTCGCGCTTCTACTAGAGACGGTGCAGGCGTCAACCTGCGATCTCTGGTTCTGCAGCCGTCAGACACTGGCTTTTCCTGCATTTCAATTCAATTCAAAAATACTTTATTAATCCCAGAGGGAATTTGATTTGACAAATAAAGTCAACAGGAGTTTCAATTACCATCCCCTTTACACACGCAACTCTGTGGCTCATCTGAATTTCCTTCAGTGACACACGGATGGTTATACTATGAGACACCCGCTCTTTTGC